ACAATGAAGAAAAAAATACATGACCAACCCAATCCCTGCGCAACTTTAAATGTTCTATATCTGTGAGATAGGTCTCCTGAATCAAGGCGATGTCTGTGCTTTGTTTCTTAAAGTATGTTAGAACTTTCTCCCTTTAAATGGGTTTGTAACACCACTAACATTCAATGAAATACAGTTTACTAGTCATGTCTTATTAATTTTAAGTAATAAGAAAAAATATTCTGGTTAGGCTGCGATGGACTGTCCAGGGTGTACCCCGCCTCTTGCCCATTGACAGCTGGAGATAGGCACCAGCAACCCTTGCGACCCCAATTGGGACAAGCGTGTCAGATAATGGATGGATGGATGGATTCTGGTTAGGTGACATGAGATGCATGTAACTTGAACAAAATAAAGATATTTCTGACCCTTTGCTATAGGCTTACAGTTTTCAATATTCACAGAATGAACCCAATGGAGATGGTGTCCCACAAATCCCAATAAAAATAAATAAAAAAAGAAAACCCACATTTTAACTTTTCAACATTTTAACTTTTCTGTAATGTTTATAATTTTGCCATTTGATCTCCTGCTCCGGTTTCCCAAGTCGTCCGTTTTCTTCTTCAGGAAAGTCAATTCTTTCTCCATTTTTAGTATGGGTGTTTGTGCATCATAGAGGTTGTCTTCATTAGCTCCAATTCTGGTTTCCATTTCCTGTACCTGTTCATAAATTCTTTATCCTGGAGCAATGTAGTCTTTAGTATATAGCAATAACCGCAGAGGTCTACCTGGAGCTCACTGAGACACGTCTGCCTTCAGATCTTTCAGACCCTGAGTCTCGTGACTTTGCTTAGCCCTTATTTTTTGCCCACCTGCAAAAAGAAAAACACATTTATTTAAGTCACATTCTTTGTACTGGGACACAAGAATGTGAGGCTCTCTATAAAAATCATTCTGTGGAATAAACGTACAAATCCTAAGCAGCCTCCATTCAGCAGCAACTCTGAGCTAAACAGCTTAAAGGCAGGTTAAACACAAGTTTACCACCGAATTCAGAAACAAGATTTTAGTTGAAGAAAAAACAAAATTTATATCTAAGAAAGATTTGTTACATACATTGATAGAAAACTGATAGATTAGAAAACTTCTTTATACAACATAACAATGTAATAGGGATGCACGATATAATCGGCCCCCTATCGGTATCGGCCTGTATCGGCCTTAAAACTAAAAAACGGACATCGGCCACCACACCGATATTTAACCCGATATTTGATCAGCTTCTGAGTTTCTAAAGTCTAAAAAAAAAAAAAAAATACTACTTCTTCTTCCTCAAAAACTTCTTTTTTACAGACTTAAAAACTTCTAAAGACGAGGGAAAAAATATTGATACATTAAAATATCACAATATCTTCATATGCTGATATATTGCCATTTAAAAACACCATATCAATCTATTTTACTAATGAAATATTGCTATATGTCATCGTTATGCTACGAAATCCCCCGAAAATTCACAAAATTTTGCCATAATTTTTATATATTGATATATTGACGCGGTATCGATCTATTTTACTAAAAAAATCTCACAAGAATTTGCAAAATATCACGAGTTTGTAACAGAATGATGAAATTTCATGGGATTTTGAAAGTAAAATAGATCGATACCGCGTTTTTAAAAATCTATTTGATATCAGCATATGAAAATATATTTGAGTAAATTATTTGTGTCAGAAATGGATAACAAAACTGCTATTTTCAATGACTACCTTTTTTTGTCCAGCTTTAACATCAGTATCGATATCGGTTATCGGCTACATGAGTTTTAAAATATCGGCATATCGGCCAAAATCCCAATATCGTGCATCCCTACAATGTAATAAAACTACTGAAATAAATTATTTGTCTTTTCTCATTCCTGTAGCAGATGCTTTGAACACTGAAGGGCCTGCTAAATATCTAGAACAATTTGAAATTAAAGAAAATCAAGTTTTGAGTCTAAAATCAGATTCGAATTTCCTAATAATGAGAGAAAACAGAGGTGTAACATTGCAGGATAAAGATGCTCTGACATAGGGAAAGGACTGAGCTAAAACCCTCACTTTGTTTTCAGGAAGCAGATTTGTACATTTCTGAGGTGTAGAAAAAAATGCTAATTTATTTTTCTTTAGACCCTTCAACCTTTTGACAGCTTATTATGCAAACCCAGGTAATCTGAAAAATGAAAGCTTACCTGAACGTTTTCGGCATTTGTTCTTGGAAAGCAAAACAACTAAAATCACGATGACAATGAGACTGATAATGAAGAGAGCAATGAAAATGTTGAAGGTTTGTTCTGGACCTGAAATATAGACAAACATGAGGATTAGATCACTCTAACAATGAATCAATGCTGTTGTATTCAGTCCAACCAAAAAATAATGGCACAATTTAAATGATTCCCCCTAAAAGCTGAGATTACCACCAAAATATCACTAAAATGTTTCTTCTCTCCACATATTAGTGGTGACAGCCTTATCATCACCCAGCCAGCATTAACTATAATCAGTGACCTAAAGGCTTAGGCCAGAATTAATTCGTAGTTCCTCAATTAACACACAACCACAAAGCCCCTGATCCAGATTAGTTTGTCCTCTTGAATATTTTGGTTCAATTCAGTGAAATCAGAGGTTGTATCTGCTCTCATGGTGCTGGGACTGTTGAATCACGCAGCATGGTGTATAACTAGCAGAGGCCTGAGGCGTTGCATGATGTGTTATCAGCAGGGGCCTTTTATCGGTTGGGTTATGTAGCCATGTAGCTCCTCCTCTGTGCACAGCTGAAGAGCAAAAAGGACACAGACTAGAAAAAAGCTCAATTTCCTGCTTTTTTTTCTCTCCACATCTCCAATGGATGTGGTGTTCAGCTCTGCTGCAGGGTCTCATCTAATCCTTATTCAGCACATTAGAGTTAATGTTTATTTTCTCATTATTTACACACAGCTATACATTGCACATCTAGAAATTTTTATTACACCTCTGATACCAACATTCATATTCCATTGTAGTGTTTGTTAACCTAATGCTTTTACCTGTAGCATGATCTCCTGTTTTATGGCTCTGAGCCAGTCTTACCAATTCACAACAACTGTTGAGCTGAAGTCATGCCCCGCCCTCCTCTGACTGAGTATAGGGGAGAGTGTCTCCCAACCTGGAGATAGCAGACTCCAGGTGAAGATAATTAAGGGATCAGTTGGGAGATGTTCACTCACTAAGCAGCAAGGAGCACTATGAGGGTGCCTGGGAGGAGCCAGTGAGCCACAAATTATTTTAATATTTAGATTGAAATGTTAAAATATTAAGAAAAGTTAAAAAAAAAGAGGAATTATTTCAAATGTATTTGAGAAAGTAAAATAATACTAGAATGTTAAAATGTATCACTAAACAATGCTTTGAATATGTTTGATTTTGGGTTTAAATCTTATATTTTGTTTCAGGAACAATTTTGTTATTTAAAGGTTGTTAATCATTGTTTCTCTGTGTTTATGTTTAAAGGTTTTTTTCCCAGAATGCCCTCGACACGCTGAGGCATTGGGCGAGCAGTCATAGAGAGAGAGTCCATCGTGATACCGAGAAACGTTACCTACTGAGACGGAATCAGGTTGCTCTTCTGCCAGTTCACGCGAAGACCTAATAGGTCCATGTGATCGAGCAAGGTGCACGTGTCTGCAGCACCTTGAGCTTCTGGGGGTGCACAGACAAGCCAGTTGTCCAAATAAGGCAGGATCTTCAACCCTCAGGCCTGCAGAGGACACAAGGCTGCGGCCACGCACCTCGTGAACACAAGCAGGGACAGAGAGAGACCGAATAGGAGAACCCTGAACTGAAAATGCTTGCCCTGAAATGCAAAGCGGAGAAAACGCCAATGCTGTGGTGCAATCGGGACATGAAAATATGTGTCCTTCAAGTCGACCAAGGTGAACCAGTCGCCTGGGGAAATTGCCTGAAGCACATCTCTGATGCTCAATATGTGAAAGGTGATGGACTTCATGTAAAGATTTAAAGCTCTCAGGTCCAAAATTGGGCGGAGTCCCCCAGTCTTTTTCGGAATTAAAAAATACTTTGAGTACAAGCCCCCTGGATCCCGCAGGGGGTCGACGGGCAATATAGCACCCTTGGCCAGCAAGGTGTCTATCTCTTGGCTCAGAGCCTGAGCCTTTACCTGGTTGTGAATCACCATCATCCTGACTCGACCAGGGACAGGAGGGCGGCGGCGGAACTGTAGCGTGTAACCCCGGGTAAGTGTACACACCACCCATGGATCGGAAACAAGAGTGGCCCAGCAACCGAGCTGCTCCCACCACCGGCCCAGTGACGTCATCTCCGAGCCCCCCTGCCCTTCGGGGGCGGGAGGGTTGCCGAGTTGCCCGACCAGGTTGAAGAGCGATATGAGCTCGACCTCTCGGTGGATCCCACTGGCCATGGGCAGGCCTGGCAGCAGGCCCTGCAGCAAACCGTGGCTGCCCCAGGCAAGGTGTAGTCCGGGCAGGATAAGTATGTGACAGGGACACAGAGGCACTCCTAGCAGGACGCTGCACTCGTCTGCGATGCAGACTGGCCAACTGCTGCTTGGTACGCGAGGCCTCAGCTGACCGCTCCAGGACTGCAAGTGCAGCGGAGCTAACACGTCCAACCTCCCTCAACAGAAGAGCAAATGCATGGAGGGATGCATCCATCAGTCCTTGGGTAGGTGCATCGATCGCGACACCCTCCAAGGAAGCTGAGAGACCCAGCAGTAAATGCGACAGGGAATTCCCAAGTCGCCCCAAATGAGACCCAGAGTCATAGGCTCTACAGAGCAGATCGTCAGTGATACGGCATTGAGGATGAGGACACCTGGCATTAGCCCTCAAAGCCTCATCCGGTGCCACAATGAGGGAAGCTATGGCCGGCTCAACAGAAGGCATATGGCCCAAGCCAAAACTGGGTGCATTTTGCATGGCCGTGAGTGCCCTGCCATCAGAGGTCAGCCTCGAGAAGGCCTTAGTGTCTTTCCAACAGGCAAGGTTGGTCCTGTGGAGCATCCAGATGCAACCGGGCGAGGGCAGTCCTCAGAGCGCCCACTACAGAACCATCCTCCTCTGACTGAGAGCAAGAAGAGATATGCGAGCCGGCTTCTGAGAGGAGTGAGCCGGAGTCAAAATGATCCCGAAAATCAGTGCCAGACGCCGCCAGGGAAATGGCATCATCATCTAAAGCAGAGACTCCCAAACCAATGCTCTGTCCTTGGTCAGGGTCTCCAGACATGCTAGTGCTACGCTCACCCCTAAGGGACTCAAGCGACGCTTTCATCCCCTCCAGCTCAGAAGCGAGCTGGGTCACCTGCCCAGATATGCCATCTGGAACCCTGGGGCTCCTCTTGCTCCTCTTCCGTGGAGGCCCCATAGCCTCAGAAGCCACACATTTCACAGGCTGGCTGGCACCTTGAAGGCCAGCCAAACGAGAGTTACATATGGACAAAGGCAGGACAGAACAATTAGGGCATGCCGCATCAGTCAAGGCGTCTTCCAGATGATCCAGGCCCAAACAGCTTTTTTACAGCACGGCGCGTCCAACATGTCACGCTCACAGGGCTAGGTCAGGTCGAGCTGAAATCGCCACTCTTGACACTCACCGAGTGGACAGATCGGGAGACTCGGTCGAGCAGAGAACGCCATCAGGGGTTCCCCAGCAGCAATGGCTACAAGAGGACTAGCCAAGCATGTTAGTAAAGTAAAAAGCAAGCCCGAAAACGGCCGCTTGTTGGTAATATAGGCAGGCCCGAGAATGGCTGCTACAGTAAAAAAAAGCAAGCCCAGAAGCGGCTGCTACAGTAAACAGAAACGCAAGCCCGGAAGCGGCTGCTACAGTAAACAGAAAAGCAAGCCCGCAAGCGGCTGCTACAGTAAACAAAAAAGCAAGCCCGGAAGCGGCTGCTACAGTAAACAAAAAAGCAAGCCCGGAAGCGGCTGCTACAGTAAAACAAAAAAGCAAGCCCGGAAGCAGCTGCTGTGGTAACAAAAGCAAGCCTGGAGGCGGTTGCTAGTAGTAAACAAAAAAGCAAGCCCAAAGAGGCTGCTACAGTAAATAAAAAGCAAGCCCGAAAGCGGCTGCTATAGCAAACAAAAAAAGCAAGCCCGAAAGCGGCTGCTATAGCAAACAAAAACGCAAGCCCGAAGCGGCTGCTATAGCAAACAAAAAAGCAAGCCCGAAAACGGCTGCTACAGCAAACAAAAAAGGAAGTCCGAAAGCGGCTGCTACAGTAAACAAAAAGCAAGCCAGAAAGCGGCTGCTATAGCAAACAAAAAAAGCAAGCCCGAAAGCGGCTGCTATAGCAAACAAAAAAGTAAGCCTGAAAACGGCTGCTACAGCAAACAAAAAAGCAAGCCCGAAAGCGGCTGCTACAGTAAACAAAAAGCGAGCCCGAAAGCGGCTGCTATAGCAAACAAAAAAGCGAGCCCAAAAACAGCTGCTACAGTAGTTAACAAGCCGGTCGGAGTCGGCTAACGCCGAAGCACCAGCAACAGGGAGTTGCGGTGAGAACGCGTCCCCGTTTGCCGTCGATAAGAGAGAAAACTTACCAGACGAAAAAACCAAGTTGTATAACGAACAGCTTGCGCAGCCTCTGGAGGGCAAGATGAGCCTCGCAGCTCCGACCTAAGTCTCGAGGCTACCAGCGACAAGTAACAGTGTCTTACCACCTGTTCAACCTGCATGCGAGAAGATGAAAAGGGACTGAGCTGTCGCTGTCACATGACTATATAGGCACACCGGTGTCACCGGGGGTCACACGTGACTATGTTGGTATAAGATTCTCGACCTGTGCATGCGCAAGAGTGATCATTCGTGCTTTAAGCAAGGCCTCTGGCGGTCAGTAGGCATGAAATAGAACCTGCAGTTTAAATACCATACAAAAAAGTGTGAACCACTTGACAACAACAATAAATGTAAGATGGTGTCCTGGATGTCCCATCTATCTGATCTAGCTCTATGAGTCTTTTGCAGGCTTTTAAAATGTTCTCAAGGCCAAATGTTATTATCTGCATCTAATCTATATAGCTTCCTCTGCTTTAAATGCGCCAACCTAAAATTATAACTTTACCAGCAACCTACAGTGTTAAAACAGTTAACATCTGCATTGTTATTTGTGTAGTTTGAAATTCTAGTTAAATATTGTTGGATCTGATGTATGTTGAACACATTTGTAATTGCCTCTTTTCATATTTTCTTCTTCTCTTATTGGCGCCATGTGCGTGCATATTATTCAGCTAAAGTAGATGATGAGCTAATGAATAATATTTCTCCCTATTATGATATTTCTCCCTCTATTGTTAGACATTAATCTTTCGTCCTTCACTCTTCATTTCTATAAAGCATACAGTAAAACCTGCTCCCAGTCCATGTAACCATAACAGCAAATGTGTGAAAACAACCACTGTTCATAAAAACACTGTGCAAGAATTTAACTTACGGTAAAAGTTGAAGGTTTAAATTTATTGAAGAAAAGCAAAAAACATTAAGGTATTTAAATTTACTCAATTTCTTCATTTTATACTTTTATGAAATCTTATCTGAATTGGTTTTAAAAAGTAACTATTTAGTTTTCTCCATCTGAGCCAATGTTATACATTACATTTGGATTTAATTAAAAGAATCTAGCCTCCCCTGACAGCAGCCACCAGCGGCAATTATCCACCTAAAATAAACAGGAATAGTATAATGGAGGCGTAAAAAGCTGTAACATTCACATTTCAGAACCACTTTTCTAAACTGAAAACATGATATAAGGAGTTATTTGCCATTTTCCCAAAAGAAACATTTTTAGAGGACTTGGGATTACCACCACTTATTTTTATTTTTTTTTAACACATATAACACCTTTTATCAATATGGGGGAAATCTTTTCAGGTTTCTGCTGCAGTTTGTCATATAAATGTTTACCATACTCTCTCTGCAATCCACATACACCTACAGACTGATACAAAAGCGCAAGCATGAAGACAACCAGACGTATTTCTAAACATCTCTTCAGTTGTATAGGATGGATCAGCGTTCATATTATTTTGTAAATAAAACATATTTACTGAACAATATAATGTTTTTATTTATTCGTTTTTACTTTTAATACATAATACATACCACTTTTGACCAGAAACAAACTCTTTTACATTATTCATGCTTTCAAATAAATTGTACATTAATTTCCATTCCCAGCCCTTTTGTAATTTCAACCTGTCAGTTTTTCCGTTTAGATTATATCCTCCACTATTTCAGTCCATTGGCTTTAATGAAATGTCTCCTTTCCTCCAGTTCTTTGTTGTTGCCTCTTTAGCCTCTATCAGCAATATTTTAACTAAATATTAATCACTGTTATGAAAGATTCCCTCTGAAAATTTACATGAAATAGTATTTAAGGTCTCAGTGGAGCATTTCTGTTTTCATTTTCAATTTAATTGTCTTTAATGATGTTCACAAGGGCTTTATGAAATGTGATTATTTTAAGTTTTCTATTCCCATAAGCTATAGCTATAATTTTGATCACTTAACTCCTCCTCTGATGGCCCTGCCAGTTTTACTGAGATACAAAAAAATCATGTTTTATCTTTATTACCAAACATCTGATGGCTTTAAATTTCAAGTTGAAATTATTAGTCCAATTGTATGCTTTTTTATCAGTTTCACCATTCAAGGATGCTCACATTTAGCCTGGTTCTGCTAGAAGTTTATTCCGGTTAAAACATTTTCTTTCTCTCTCAATTGTTACTGCATGCAGGCTCAGTGTGAGGTATTGCTGCAAAGTTAACATTTTGCAAGCAACTGTCAACTGTCACTAAAACCTCATCCAGGAGGAGAAGTCTGCAAAGTTAAGGACATGAAGCAATATATTGATTTACCTTGAGACATTCTAACCAATTTGAATATCAACAGATAAAAAAAGGTTCCTGCACACAGTATCACTTTTCATCAAAGATTTATTAATGTAATGTTCGGTCGGTATGACTTAGTGTGCGGGAATCTTTTTATCAAATCTGTGCGTCTTGGGCTATGCTCTTTTCCTACACACCTGTGCATTAAGGTGTGATAAGATTTTGCATTCACTTTTGGAACCAATTTAAATATTACATTAAACTTTGACAAATCAATCGATAACTAGGGCTTGGAATCTCTAAGACTGCATTGCCTTTTTATTCTAATGTAATATAAAACAGGTCTTGTGAATTGGAGCAATTTGTTGGACAATAAACCATGATAATAAATTAGGAACATTAGGAACCAATGTCGGTGCTTTATGTTAACTATTCTTATTAGGGTGTAGGATGAAATTTTTCACTGCAGGTGGCTCTCAATCGCCAGTCTCTAACTGCTACAAAGCCCCTTTCTACTAAGACAACATCAGAAGACACCCCCAAGGGACATGCAATCAATCATAATTTTAAATAATGCTTCAAATTCCTATCTATGAAGAGGTCCTGAGGCCATATTATAAGTCCAATGTTTAATTGTTTATATTCTGTTTGTCCGTAAGGGTCCCCCAATTAAACATAATCCAGCATATTTGTAATGATGAGGAAAGGGCTTCATAAAGTCAGTTTTCTGCAATCAGAAAATTTCGCTTGTCAGAGCTCAATTGGTTTTCCTAACAGCACAAAGATGCAGCAGAGACTGGAATATTGCACAGTTAGATCATTAGATAGAAATGGTAGAAAAAAAAAATCCATCCATCCATCCATTTTCTGTCACTCTTATCCCAAGTGGGGTCGCAAGCGGTGCTGGTACCTATCTCCAGCTGTCTTTGGGTGAGAGGCGAGCTACACCCTGGAAAAGTCACCAATCCATTGCAGGGCAACACAGAGGCAAACAGGACAAACAACCACTCACACACACACTCACACCTAGGGAGAATTTAGAGAAACTAATAAACCTAGCAGTAATATTTTTGGACTGTGGGAGGAAGCCGGAGTACCCGGAGAGAACCCACGCATGCTCAGGGAGAACATGCAAACTCCATGCAGAAATTTGAAAATTATGCTTCAAAAATGTTTTGAGGACATCGGAATGCTTCAGTGTGATTTTATGGGTCAAAGTGTTGTAAAAAAGCAATTAGCAGTATTTGGCATTATTTGGTACATTTGGAGAGGTATGTGGACGCTGGCAACCTTAGAAGTTAAATGTCCCATAGCTCTGTCAGTTTTATACTTAGAGGTCTGAATTTCTTTGCAATTGGGGCTCACATGATACAGAAAGAATGTAAGAGATGACACATCTCTGTCATTGAGAATTTCTTTGTTTTTCGAAAAAAAAAAAAAAAAAACTAGGATACGTGTCTGAACTTATACAGTTTAGACTGTTTTAGTAACACTATTATTAGAAACTAGAAGTTGTAATATTTCAAATGATGTATCATACAAGTAATTTGGCTTTAAAGTTCCTTAATGATTTGCTTTTCTATTTGGGTTTGCTAAATTGGTGCGGGTTACTTTAATGAACAATGAATATTACATTCAAATAGGCTTCTAGCATTTTCATTTTCAACTGCCAAAATGGGAAATATTCTGTCAAGGAGAGTTGTAAAAATGTGTTCCAAATACCTTTTAAATTAAACTATTTCTTATCATTTCAGTTTCACTGATCTAAGCTATCCAATTACAAGCCAAACTTCACAGAATTAATTTTGTATTAAAAAACTATGTCTCCTCAATAAAAGAAAAGCTCTAGGAAAGCTCTAAAAACCTGCCATCTCTTTACCTGATGTACTTTAATTTTGTTAGAAAAACCTGGAATTGCTGTCTTATCTAAACTCAAGTTTTATTTTTAGTTTTCTCTGTTATGCTTGGTTATATTATATATTTTGCATTTTTTTGCTTAATGTATGCAATGTTATGTTCTTAAAAAATCCCAATAAAAATGCAATTAGAACCTTAAGTTTATCCACAGCCATGCAGCAAGAGTACTGGTGAAAAGTAAAGGTGATAATACATATCTCATTGTTAATGGTTCCCTTTATGGTCCCTATTAAATCCAGAATAGAGTGAAAATTCTCCTTACATTTCTCCTTGCATGATGCCTTTAATGATTTATCTTCCCTATTTATCAGAGACCTGATTGTTCCACATGTTCCTAAAGGATCACGTCACTTTCCAGACTGCAGGTTTACTGATAGTGATAGAGTTTCTAAAAGTAGATATAAATTATGCATTAAACACAGTTCTATATGCCAATCCATTTTTTATATCATTGTTTCCTAAATTCATCCTCCTTCAATCTCAGGCAGTTATGTTTTCTGTTTAATCCATCTCCTCCATTATATCAGTCCACTGTTACGATTCCAATGCGTCATTTTTAAAGTATTTTTGTGTTTTTTTTTTTTTTTCTGGCCATCAGCATTATTTAAAACTAACTGAGGTCTTCTGTTTGAATAGTTCCCTCATGCATCAGGCACAAATGCAGGACTTTGGATCAACATGTATTTTATAGCCTACTATTTTTTCTAGCCGTCATACGTATTTTTCAACAAGATAGAATTTTTGTTCATTTCCACAATACATGACAATAATTTTTCCAGCCATTTCTCTCCACCGCCTTGAGCTTGTTGAAATATGTAGCAGGAGTCAAATAGAGAGCCAATCAACCTCTGATAACTAAATCTGTTCTTCTGTTTCCCATTTTGTTTTTTTTATAGAGAGTATTTTTGTTGTTAAAATGTTGTCATAATTTCTATTAATTTAGAAACAATTTTGTGGGGTAGCTGTCTGTATGCTTTTGTCACAATTCCCACTAATTCTCTGTTTTGTTGTGTAGAATGCTTCTTAATTTCAGACTTATAAACATTTCTTAAATGGAAATACCGAAATATGTCAGATTTGCCCAATCCAAATTCCTGTCCTATTGTTTCAGGGGACTTAAAAACGTTCCCCTCTATTAATGTGCATATGGCTGTAATACCCTCAGTAACCCATTTCACAAGCGTAGCATCCAAATGACCGCCTCCAAATTTTGGGCAGCATGCTGACCATGCCAGAATCTCACAATCATCTTGGATTTATCAGCCGCTCACCACTTTCCACCAGATGTTAATAGTAAACTCAATGATAGGGTTCATGTGTTCCAGTTGTTATACTGTTTTCTTCACCTAGCTTTGATAGTGGTTGATATTTACAATAATGTAATATTATATTTTTCCATTTGGATTCATATTACAGTGAGCACCAATAAATAATTAGTTGAGCAGCTAGAAAATAATTCTTAAAATTAGGAAGCCGACTCGGTTTTCTTCTCAAGTTGATTTATTTTCAATTTCACCATCCAATTTCACCAACTTTTCAAGTTATCATGTAAACAGGCAGACAAACACACAAACCTTCCTGAAACATAACCTTCTTGGTGGAGGTAAAAACAGTTAATTTATTAGTTTAGGTTTCTGTAGCAGTTAATCTGTTGAAGGATATTTATTACATAATCTCTGTCTGCTTCAGAGAAACAAAATAAATAAATGTTGTGAGGAAAATAAAAAAGTATATTCGATCTAGTGAAAGTTTATTTCTTTTGAATCACTTTTTTATTTAAAACAAATAGTTAAAAGAAAATATTCCAATCAAACAAGTCTTATCTCTGCAAAAATAACTCAACTGGGAGCTGACACAAAAACACAAGTATGAGGACAAAAGTAGAAAATCAGCATCACTTCAGTTGTGAAGGATGGTGCTTTGTAAAGGTTATCAAATCAAAGCTAAATGAAGAAAAGTTGGTTTGGAAAAAAGAGCAACATTCACAATGACAACAGTGGATGAGTATTCAAAAATTAAAAAGTCTCAAAAGTCACCAAACACATCACTAAGGTAAAAAAAAATTAAAACTGAAAAACCAACTCTATGAGGCGTGGCAGTGGAGCAGGGGTTAAAGATGTGACCCTTAACATTGCTTTCATGTCTGCCTACTTTAAGAGAAATAAGTAAAAGCTGATAAAGTCTAAATAATAATCTTTAAAAATGTCCCAGAGCAGTTCTAAAGAACTTTCAGTTTTGGTCAATTTTGGCTCCATCAAGTGGACAAAGGCTGTATTGTTTTGCCTCAAAGAAGACATCATTTTTCATGAGGACCAGCACATAGCTTCGTAAAACACCCATCTCCCGGTCACCATAGGCTGTTTGAAAGGTGAATAGTGATGAATGGCAATTAATCTAATAGTCAAAAAACAATGTCATATGACAATGTTTGTTAGAATAGTTGTATATAAATGTATCTGTGTAGTGTTATCATGCATAAAGCTGTGTACTATGTGCATGTTTTCACAGCCACCTTTCTGAAGTATACTGTGATTTGTGAACTTGCTTTTGGGGAGGTTGTGGTTGATTTACGAGCAGCACTTGACCTGCTGAACTTTGTTGAACAGCTTCAACCGCTTGGACTTTAACTAAACCCTGAAATGTATAGGATGTTTGCTGAGACTGCAAGTCTGAATTTTTCATGTTGTTTCTGATCTCTAGAGAAGTCTCAAGTGTTGTAACAAGGGACCCCTGATTTCTAATAAATAGCGAGCAGAACGCTGGGACTGCAGAGTGAGGTGGAGATTTGTGAACTCCGCAGTCTCCTTCCTGCTCTCCTCGCGAGTAAAACTAAATTAATTGTCTCTGTGCCTTCTTTCTTTCCCTGCATGTATGTATGATGTTTTAGGTGCTTAGACCTGACAATGTTAAAAGTATGAAACTTTTAATATTGTTTTTAGTACCATATTTGTTCATGTAGATTATGTTCCCTTCTTCATGCACATAAGAATCTCTATAACAGCGCCACCCATGGTTAACAGGGTCACCAGCCTTGAACAGACTGACCTACAAATAGTTTTAAAGTGGTGATGTTCTAACCTAACATAAAATAAGAAGCTAGAGCAGATTTTAAAAGATCCCGTTCTGAAGCACCCGGAAAAAGATGCATTAAATCCAACATATAGATAAAAAAATCTCTATAACGCCTCCCTCAAGTGATTTAGACATCCCCCCTGTAATTGACATTTAAGCACTATTTTTGCACGCCACGTATCGCTTTACTTGGATTTATCACTTTACTTGGATTTAGCATATATATATATATATAAACTAACTGGAGCCTGTAACAAAAGAAATTTCCCTCTGGGATTATTAATGTTTTTCTGATTCTGAAAAAAATATAAAACTGAGAGGAAACTCACCAGAAGACACATGAACCTCTTCTGTCTTAGCTTGATGGCAGATTTCTTCTTGTGTCAACACACAATAGTAGTGGTCTTCTTTTGTCACAACAGTAAGAAGAGTGATGTCATCGTCAGTTGGATCTTTAGCATAAACAGTGTCACCAGTCCTGTTCTTCAACTCCATTTTTGATTTTAGAGAAACACCACGAGCTGTACAGGTCACCTGCACCCCATCTTTCACCTTAGCAGTCCTAATATTTGGCTTTCGACAGGCAACTGTAAACATGAAATAAATAATATATATATAAAAAAAAACTACAGAAACTACAGACAGACCTCAGAATAACTGAAGCTTTAATTGTAGCAACACATTATTTTACAGAATCTTGATCCATAGGTATATGTATCAATATGCCGATGTATCCAAACGCACATCATAGTTCATAGATCTGACAATATGAAAGAATTTCTTCATTTTCCTTCTATCACAGTAATGTTCTACCTCATGTTGGTCGACCAAATAAAATCCTGCTTCAATAGAGGAAGGCTTGTTGAAGTGAAATAAAATAAACATTTAAAAATAGGTTTAAAACTGAACAATAAACGCATCCAACACGGATTTCTGCAAGGAGGTTTGCGTAGCTCTGACTGAGACCAGGTCTATTTTAGTCAGACTATGCAGCAATTCAGCAGCAATTTTATGGGTCTGTCAGGAAGAGACGCAGCTACAAAGTAAAACACATCCATTTTGGTGGAAATACTGAATAAAATCTGTCAATTGTCTAAGGAAAACACTTGGGTTTGGAATCACACAGCGCATATATAGCAGATGGGGTAGACATGGGCATAAAAATTTGTTTTATTTTAAAACATAATAGGCTACTTTACGCATAACAGGAGTTCAGAAGGATAGAAAATGGATAAAGTGATCCTCTTTAAACCTCATCAAAAAAACAAAACAATGAGGGACAGTACAAGATAGGGTACCTTATTACTCTCCCCTCTATAAAAAAAAAAAATGTATGTAGTGCCAATGTACTGAGTTTAACATCAAGAACGTGACCCTACAGTCAGGGGGAAAAAAATTAGTCTTGAGAACTTTTGGAAATAAAAAGTTTTATATTAAGGCTCCTGCCAATAATAACTTCATGTTTAGCTGGGGTATCAAACATTTATTTTATTTAATGAAATGCTGATCATTTTTATTACCAGTTACAGTATGAGTTATTTCTGGGTTTTTAGGATCAAAATCAGGGACTTCTGATTTCTTTAAAGATGAACAAATCAGCAGGTAATCACACAAATATTTGCCCAGAATAAATATTCTCTTTTTTTAAGCAATCAATTAAGTTTAATAAAACTAATAATTGTGATTCCAGATAAATTTGACTCCATTTGTATTAAATAAAACTTTGAACAAACCAACTACTATCTAGTGGTTCTACAGAAAAAGTTCAAGTCAGTTGTAGTAAATATTTAGAGCAGCAAACAACAGAGCTGCTTAATTACTGTAGATATCAGGAAAGTAGAGGAAAGGTTTAACATAAAACTACTGTCAAACACAAAAAAATGTTGTTCAACTGCAATCTACAAAAACACTTTTAAAATCTCTGCTAGAAAAGAAGCATGGCCACTTTACTTTACACTGGAAAAAAAATCTAAAAACAATAAAAAAAAAAAAAGTGTGTTTGCCCTTGATAAGGTAAATGAGGTGATTTGCCAACAACTTGTTTTTATCCCCATAAAATAATAATAACAATACCAATACCAATAATCATAGCATAATAATTAGATTTTTTGCACTTGAAATAAGACAGTGCAGTTGTTTTGTTTATTTAATGTAAAATGCACTTATTAAAAAAAGAGAGACTTAGTTAGCTTTTATTGTTATTTAGTGTAACTAGTTTCAACTTGTCCCTAACACTTTTAAGCCCCAGATTATAGATTTGATTAATAATCTGACCTCTGCATGGTTCTTTGTGCCTCTAAACAAGGTGAAGAGCCTCATTTAAAAACAGCCTTTACACCACCTACCTTGGTTGCTGTTGTAAAACTGTCAAAGATTTGATGTTCTCTCGTAATTATGAGATATTGATCTCGTAATTATGAAATAAGCTGTCAGATTTTTTTTTTCCTTTGTTGAATGTAATATGCTTCCGTAAAAAGTATCATTAGGGATTATAGAAAAAAAATATATATATATTCATCCAATTCCCCACTCCAGTCTTATTCTAAGATGATTTTATCCTCCCTTCTATTACATAAAGGCTTAATTTAGTAGCCTGAATTAATATCGACTGAGACAAAGTTATCGCCCATAACTAAATAATTTTATATAAGCCTAAACAATATCAAGTCAATTCATGTAATTAGCTTTTTGGATCACTTTAAATATGTTTTAGAAAAGGTGTTGAAACCAAACGGATGATCTAAGCGTATATTTTCTCTTTTATGATTGAATAGCGCCATCAAACCCTATCTGGGAGGAGATAGGAACCAGGACTCACCTTGTTTTCTTTCTGGATCCTTGGTTCTGTCCTTTAAGATGCATTCTAAAATGGAAAAGAAAAGAGATGTTAGAGACATCTATCAAAATCACCTGTTTGGGATTAACATGAAACAAAATAAATTCCATCATTCACATGTTAAACAGGTTTATAGGGTTACCCTCTTTTACAATTTTAATATAGTCAAAATTAGAATGATCCTGACCAGGAGTGATGTGGAAATCCTCTCCATGTATACTTCAAACTATTTCTTTATCATATGGAAGTAAAACAAAATGCAGTGAAAAGGCTTCATCCTATCAAACGATGTGGCTGCAAGGATTGAGATCAAAATCTGAGAAACAGATAATATTTCTCCTATTTAAGCTTATCTTCATGCCTCTCTGTTAATCAAAAATATTCTTCACACATATATTTAAAGCATAAATTATCAAGCTCCATCCTATATCAGTGATCTGATTATTCCATATGCTCTTAAGAAACCTCAGACTGCAGATTTACTGGTGGTTTTGAACATTTTAAAAACTATACTGGAAGGATGATCTCTTAAGGAAAAAAAAAAGACAGGAATATCCCTTTAAAGTTCTTAGTGATTATTAGACACTGAGACACGTCTAAGGAGCATTCCTGGGTTAAGATTATTGCACCGGGACATTAAGTAACATTCTAAGTGTCAGACCAGTTTTCTTATTGCCTCTCAAGAAGATAAACACCCTGCTCTCTAACCACCAGCCTACTTTAGCATCAGGCCTCCTCCAGTAGAACCAGCTACCAACCTTAGAGTGGAGGTAGACCCCCTGTCAAGCTTCAAAACATGGCTATTCAAATATTATTATATTCAAATAATATTTTTTTTCTATTATTTCTTTTTCTTAGTTGTTTTTCTCTTAATAAAAGCTACATCTGTTCTGCTCTTCTGTTTATTTGTGACACCTTCCTGCAGGGGGCGCTGCAGCATCATCTGAGCTACTGCTGTTAGTAACTGAATGTCTCCATTATATAGTTTATACTTTTGGCTCTGTTTTCAGTGTTTAGTGAAAAATCTGTTTAGCTTTTACTGTGATGGATTGTATTTGCTGTATTTCTCCTTTAAGACTTGGAAACCAGCTGATAGATCATCTGCTCTGCTGTTTTTCTCATATATAAAGCGTCTCAGAGAGCTACTAGTGTTAATAACGTTTAACCTTTTTAAACACAAAAAAGTACCACTAGATCAGTGCCTCTCTGTGCTTTTTGTGTGTGTATGCTCTGTCTTCTCAAATCCATAGTCACTCACGGTAGATGACTTTTAACACAGAGACCAACAAAACCAGAACCTTTTAAGAAAAGTTTTTCTATTACATTGGTTACATGTATGATCAGTGTGAAGGAATGACAAGAATTAACAACACAATGTAAGTTATAGTCCTCAACCCAAGAGGATTAAATGCTATATTTCACTGACTTAATGCATGATTGACTTAATGCAAAAAAACAACAACATTTTAACTAACTTAAAAACATCAACTGAACTTGACTAGATTGTTTGATATCTAGGATAAAAAGACTTGGAATCTGTCTACAAACATTGATTGTGTCATTTTACAAAACAGCTAGACTTAATCAGAGTCTAGCTGTTTTGTAAAATGACACAATCAATATCGCAAATCAGAGCTATATAGACCATCTTAACTGAATTGAAAGTTTGGCTATTTCATTAGAGGGATATTTGCATCTGTTCAAATAACAGGTAGCAGGGCTAAATAGCAAGACTAATTATTTTTAGGTCTCTAGTATCTGGGCCAAGATGGATGAAGGGCAAAAGTTAAAAATGGTAAATAAAATAAAGAGGAAGAAGAAAATACGTCACATCATTAATGTATAACTACAGATTGTAACTCAAAATAAAAGAGTAAATGACTATAGTTTTTAGATATTTCCTCTTTTATGGATATAGATAGCGCTGTGCTTCAATTCTATGATGACATGTAAGCTGGTTTTCAGTTTCATTTACTTGTACCCCCATGCTTCCTCTAGTTTCAATTTGTTAAATATACATTTTTTTTTTTAATCAAAGCAGAAAAATGCTTTATATTGAATACATTTGGCTTTTGTCGAAACTATTCTTGAGTTTCTAAGTTTTTGTGGGAATAAATCCTGTTTCATAGTGAACAAGTTTGACTTGAATTTTTAGGTAATTTTATCCTCCTGTAGACAAATAAGTTCTAATCAATGAATAAAAATCAATTATTATTTTTTAGTCGATAAGTGTCCCAAAACAAAAATAAACTCACCAACAGTAAGCTCAATAAGCCGCTGGTCCACTGGAGCTTGTCCAGCTTGGTTATGCAAGCAGGTGTAATTCCCACTGTCTGAAACTTTTGCTCCCTGGATTTTTACAGAAACATCTCCAGACTTTAGATCCTCTGAAAAACGAGCGACCCGGTCTTTAAACGGATCCTGAACTGTAAGATCCTCCTTTCCGAAATCAAAATGAAAAACATCCTTATCATATTTTTTCCACTCAATGCGATGACCTGTAATGTCTGTCCCGAAAGAACAATTTAGGATGATATCCTCATCTTCTTTGATGGTAATCTTGATAGAATCTGAAAAAGAAAAACAATGCATCATTCAGCAGTGTTCAAACATTCTTTAGAATTAGTCAGAAACAGCAGCACTTTAGCATTTAACAAAAAGAAACCATTGGTTTTATATGTGGTTTGTTCCTTTTTCCCTAATAGAGGAAAAAAAATAAAACAGTCTGTGGTGTTTTATAAATATTTGTGTTTATGGCTTTCAAGTGTCCAAGGGTTAAAGCTTCACACCTAACAAGGAGAAGAAAAAAATACAGAGCATGAATCTTTTTAGTTATTCAGTTACCCTGACATATTTATTACTCATTTTGACACAATCCCTTCCCACATAAATCATATTAACTATTATTACAGCTCTGGATAAAATAAATCGAGTTAAATAAACAATTCCAAATAGATAACCGTTATAGAGACAAAATAATCTATAAAATGGATTAAATAAGGTTAGATTTTTATTTCCACAATTTTTTTTAGGAATGTCCTCATTTTAACTTCCTTAATGATACCAACATAGAATCTTTTAACAGTAACCAATGGTGATTTTGACCTGACATGATATCAGGACAAATCATAGTTACATTTAATACTCATTTCCTAAACGGGATGTTAGAAAAGTCTTGATCAAGTGATATTACTGAAACAGGTGACAGCAGTCATCTGCAACAGGTATAGGGACTACTGACCCAATTATTATTCACCAATGTGTAACATAAACTTTTAACACAAGCAGAGCTTTTTTATCAGCTTGCTCATATTGGAGAATGTAGAAACAGGCTGATATTCCGATATTTTTTGGCTAATATTGTACTGATTTCAGATATGTTTTTCTCTCGTTCTATTATATAAATATACATAGAATTTATGAACACTTTAAGCATTAAAACTGGTTGGAGATTTTTGAGAAGTCTGTTAATTTTTGATCTCTTAAACTATATGCAACAGAATAAAGCTTTCTACTGTGAGTCAACAGGAAAATGATAGCTAACATTCTTCAAAGTGTTAATTCTAAGGAAAATATTGAACTCAGAGATCTTATTTTATAAGTATTTTACAATTTAAAATGTTTAACAGCTGTGAAGGCTGGAGTAGCAGTTGAAAATGAACTGAATCACAGCTTAATGATTCACAGTAAGTTTGGAAGAAAGAGCTCCAAATTTGAGAGTTAATTAAACTCTCTTGCATCAACTCCCATATTTTTGGAGGATGACAAATCCAGAGAATGACGTGTATAGCTCCACCCCTAAAGCAAAGCACAGGAGTGGAGACACTATGATTTAGATTGTGTTTCTTACAATGATAACCTGGCTATTTGGCTGCATTGAATGACCAATGGAAAGGATCATGTTCTACACACTCTTAGCTTAGGACCTTTGTTCCTTAGCCAGAAAACTGGAGATGGACATAGGATGAGTTTTCAAGTGAGAAAGAGTCCTAAAACACACAACTAAGGCAACAAAGATGGGACAAACATGCCACATATCATTGCATGGAGTGACCCAGCCAGTCTCCAGACCTCAGTTCTACAGAAAAATGAAAGCTAAAAATGCTGGTGGAAAGGTTACAATCAAGAAGCAAAAAGGGCCTGAAAATCATTCCAGAGAATTTGAAGATTCAAATATTTTCCTACTGAACTTCTTACCAATAATGACTTTGTGTTTTGCTGATATAAAAAAAACACTGCTTTTTATTCAACAATATGTAAACAGAATTTTTAAATATTTTGTGTTTTGTTTTGGGTTTTATGTTTATCTTTATGTAAAAGAGGGGTTTTTAAAGATATAAAAATAAATAGTATAACTGCAGATGTCTGGGGGACAGTGATTCGCCTATATGTTATGAATGCTGATGTACCATAAAGAATACATTATGAACAGTTTAGTTGGTGCCTTCAACTCATTGCCCATAGGAAGACCTTACTTGAATATAACCAAAACGAATATCTTCAGAACAGCTCCAAATGACACAAAACTCATATGGGTAAAGAGAACATGATGTAATAACGTAAAATCAACCAAATGTAAACAAAAAAAACGGCGTTTCCCTTTAAGTTATAAAAAAATTCAGACCTATTGTCTTCCTACTGCTGGAGAAATACTGCTATATGACGTAATGGTCCATGGTATCATAGACTGATGGAGGCTGGCACTAAGCCACCACCGCCCACCAGTCTCCCACAGAGCCTGAGACTCTGAGAGGAAGGCGGTTACTGCTGCCACAGTAAAGCAGAGATCAAGGAAGGTCAAAGGAAGTGAAAGCGCCCTCATGTGTTCAGAGTTATTACTGCAACAAACGCACCTTAAAAGACTGCTTGGAATTATGTTTACTTCATATTCGATTAATATTTAATATCATATTCGTCTTCATTAATAATATAGGGACATGTCTTACATGTATGTGAAGATTGCAGTTAGTGAAGACGATGTTTATGCTTATCCTACAAGTTTTCCTCTGTTAAGACGCGTTAAAATATCGCAGTTAAATGCGGACACCTGTGATACTACAATGACTTATTTATTTAAACTCATAAAAAAGTCATATTTTGGCCATAAAATATGTAATCACTGAGCATCACTGCCGCTCCCATCAGAAGCAGATGTGGCTTTAAAAACGCAGAGGAACATCCTCACTGCAGATTATCAGCTGCAGAGATGATGCAACAATCTAACTGAATATAAGGCATCATGTGAATTACAAGCATGGTCCAAAAACACAAATAGGAGGACAGAAGGAAGCAATTCTTTAATGGTATCAATTCAGTAACAAGGGGTAATAAGCATACATTTCTGTTTAAGATAAGCAGCAAATATAACGTCTTACTTCCGCTATTTGTGTAGTAAACACGCGCATCCTGCTGCTGCACACATGAAACTCTAGACATGACATCGTCCAAACTGATTACTTATTTAAAGCCAATAGATAATAATAATAAATATATATATTATTTAATAAATTGATATTTATAATTAAAAAAGCAATTATAAAACAGAGCGTTTAATTTTTCTTACCATCACCAAACGTTTTTCCAATAAAAGTCAGCAAGCAAAGAGACAAAAGAACAAGAAGCTCCATGGCTGCTGTAAAGGAAAACTAACTAACACCTAGATCTCTATAAACGGTGGTGTAGCCACTCCTCAGACTGACTGAGTCATCTACAACCCTTTTACTTTCGGCTTCCGACGAGCAATAAAAGGAATACTTCCGGCTCAAAGTAAATGTCATTAACAGGATATTTCACAAACAAAGCTCAAACCGTTGCATCACTAACAACCTATGCATCACACAATGAACATTTTTCATTTTTTAGAAGGCAGCAGATTGATGCTCAGTGACAGCAGTTACAGGACCTCTTTAAACTTTCATTCCCAATCTTTTTTAAGATAATACATAATTTTCCTTTCATTACACAATGAGAATCTTCTTAGTGTCAGCCTATAAAATCCCATAATTTGTAGCTGTAATGTAAAAAAAAATATATATAGAAAAAAAGTATAAGAAGGTAGGCACATTTATTTATGCAGCATATTTCCTTAACAGGAGAATGCAGAGTAGTCTTACATTATGGAAAAAAAAAAAAAAAATCATAGAAAAACGTACTTTATTTTCTGAGGATGTTTGTGTCAAATGTATGTTGCCTAAAGCATCATTTAAACTCATTGTGTTAGAGGGAGTAGCTTAGAAACATGATCAAAAAGTAATTTGATGTTCTAAAAGGTGTGAAAAGGAATCACACCGGGTCATCCCTGCATAATTTTATCCATGTGATCCCAAAGAAAGGACCATGCACTCAAAAACTCACCTGCGCTGGGTAAGGAAGAGTTCTATCTATCTATCTACACACACACACACATATATATATATATATATATATATATATATATATATATATATATATATATATATATATATATATATATATATATATATATATATATATATATATATATATGTAAAAATACTGATTTGTGAAAGTCGGTATATAAGTGCTTTTTTTACAGAGAGAATATAATACCAGCACTAGAGAAGGAAGTGGTTCTATAAACATGATAAAAAACAATAAGCAGTGTGCTCCTAATTTTTTTTAACACATATACCATAAAGTGGTCTGTCAATGCTGTTATCATGTTGACGGACATTGTTTGTTGCAACACTTGGCTTCAGAGTCAGTTTTGCTGAAACCTTTTTGCACAAAGGTGTCACAATTTCTAATCAAATGAAGACTGTTGTGTATTGAGATATATTTTTAAGCAAATTACCACTTTACCTTTGAACTGTAAACTTATGGTGGATATCATTAACATGTACAAAATAAACTATCGTTTAAACTGTTTACTATAGCCCCTAGAACTTTGGGAATATAAACTTGTGAGGCATTCCTCTAAGGATTGGATTGCTAATCTACAAAAAGGAAAAAAAACGTTTCACTGTAACAAATTGTCTTGTATATTTACTGTACAACACTGGCAGCAGGGTTGCCAGTGATATACTGTTGTTTTATGGTACTGTTGTCAGATTTACTGTAGTTTACTGTTTAACATTAATTTAGTGATTACAGTAGAGTATGACTGTAAAATTTTGTTTGCAGTTACAGTAGGTTACTGGGCAGCAGGCAGAACAAGGAAGTCAAACCAGGTTGAGAAAGGGCCTCTCATTATCTCCTGATTAGGTTTTTTGGTCCTGCTCCAAGTTTCAGTTTAGGTTTTCAGTCACATACTTTATATTTGTGTCATTCTGAGTTCTCTAAGTCAGTTTAATTTCAATTAAGTGTCATCCAAGTTATTTTCTAGTTATATTTAAGACCTGTTGTATTTCTTTTCCACTCTCTGTTGCTCCCTTGTACCAGTCTTCTTTCCCCTAGCTCACTTCTAGCTCCTTCTGTCCACAGCTGCTCCCAATCAGGTGATTACTCCATTCATTGTTCTGTTTGACATATACAGGTGCTGGTCATAAAATTAGAATATCATGAAAAAGTAGATTGATTTCAGTAATTCCATTTAAAAAGTGAAACTTGTATATTATATTCATACATTACATACAAACTCATATATTTCAGATGTTTATTTTGTTTAATTTTGATGATTACAAATGACAACAAATGAAAATCTCAAATTCATCATATCAGAAAATTAGAATATTGTAAAAAGGTTCAAAATTGATGGCCCCTGGTGCCACACTCTAATCAGCTAATTAACTCAAACCACCTGCAAAAGCCTTTAAATGGTCTTTCAGTCTAGTTCTATAGGCTACACAATCATGGGGAAGACTGCTGACTTGACAGTTGTCCAAAAGACGACCATCGACACCTTGCACAAGGAGGGCAAGACACAAAAGGTCATCGCTAAAGAGGCTGGCTGTTCACAGAGCTCAGTGTCCAAGCACATTAATAGAGAGGCGAAGGGAAGGAAAAGATGTGGTCGAAAAAAGTGTACAAGCAAGAGAGATAACCGCACCCTGGAGAGGATTGTGAAACAAAACCCATTCAAAAATGTGGGGGAGATTCACAAAGAGTGGACTGCAGCTGGAGTGAGTGCTTCAAGAACCACCACACACAGACGTATGAAAGACATGGGTTTCTGCTGTCTCATTCCTTGTGTCAAGCCACTCTTGAACCACAGACAGTGTCAGAAGCGTCTTGCCTGGGCTAAAGAGAAACAGGACTGGACTGCTGGTGAGTGGTCCAAAGTCATGTTCTCTGATGAAAGTAAATTTTGCATTTCCTTTGGAAATCAAGGTCCCAGAGTCTGGAGGAAAAGAAGAGAGGCACTTCATCCACGTTGCTTGAAGTCCAGTGTAAAGTTTCCACAGTCAGTGATGGTTTGGGGTGTCATGTCATCTGCTGGTGTTGGTCCATTGTGTTTTCTGAGGTCCAGGGTCAACGCAGCCACATACCAGGAAGTTTTAGAGCACTTCATGCTTCCTGCAGCTGACCAACTTTTTGGAGATGCAGATTTCATTTTCCAACAGGACTTGGCACCTGCACACAGTGCCAAAGCTACCAGTACCTGGTTGAAGGACCATGGTATCCCTGTTCTTAATTGGCCAGCAAACTCTCCTGACCTTAACCCCATAGAAAATCTATGGGGTATTGTGAAGAAGAAGATGCAATACACCAGACCCAACAATTCAGAAGAGCTAAAAGCCACTATTAGAGCAACCTGGGCTATCATAACACCTGAGCAGTGCCACAGACTGATCGACTCCATGCCACGCCGCATTGCTGCAGTAATACAGGCCAAAGGAGGCCCAACTAAATACTGAGTGCTGTACATGCTCATACTTTTCATGTTCATACTTTTCAGTTGGCCAACATTTCTATAAATCCTTTGTTTTTATTGGTCTTCAGTAATATTCTAATTTTCTGATATGATGAATTTGAGATTTTCATTTGTTGTCATTTGTAATCATCAAAATTAAACAAAATAAACATCTGAAATATATGAGTTTGTATGTAATGTATGAATATAATATACAAGTTTCACTTTTTAAATGGAATTACTGAAATCAATCTACTTTTTCATGATATTCTAATTTTATGACCAGCACCTGTATAATCCTCCTCCACTGCATGAAAAGTGGGATTTTCGTCAATATGCGGCACTGTAGATTGTCGTGGAACTTCAGGTTAGCGGCAGTTTACGACAATTTGCAGGCTTTGCCGAAAACTCCCGTAAATTGTCAGAAATTGACGTGGACTTTGTTAGGCAGTGTTCCCCCCATGCCTCCCCCCCATGGAATTCTAGGGGAGGCTTTAACATGTAAATGAACATGCTGTGAGCTATACAAATGCAAATCAGGGTTGCAGGGGGGGTTTTACTCCAAGTGACATTTTTCTGAAAGGTAAGAAAATCTCTGATACAAAGAGATCAGGCTCAGTATAGACTCTTACATTTTAGCTTGAATTGATTTATTTAATTAAAGTATAGAGACCAAAACAGATCTTTAGCTGACAGAGCAATACATTTAGAGCAGTAATTATAAAAAAAAAAAAAAATTGCATTTAAGATGAAAAATAAAATGTTGTCTGTCAATATGCTCAATTCACAATAACTTAAGTGGAAAAGTTTCAAGAAATGAGTCTGAGATGATTTACTTTATAACATGGCGCATTATCCTGTTGGAAGTAGCCATCAGAAGATTGGTACACTGTGGTCATAAGGTCCGGCCAGGTCAAGATCCGCAATTGCAATCGCACCAAACAGGAAAAAGAACATCGACAAATTCTGGTTCGTCAAATTAAAATATAGCAGCAACAGATCGGTGACTAGAAATTATAGCACAATTCTTATATATATATATATATAAAAAAAAAAATAACACCGTTTATTTAAATGATTGGATCCAAACTGTTGGTTATTCACCAACGAGGAAGCAGATTTCTCATCTCCATCAAAATATTTATTTTATACCGAGGGACTTAAACTTTAATCAAATCCATTCAAAAGAAACTTCTTATTACAGGAATGAAAAGAAATGTTTGGGAGAAGAGAACAAGTTCATTCAAAAAAAGCAGTTTTGAATTATCCTTATCCCCGTCACAAAAATCTACAAAAATATAAATATATATTTGGGCAGAAACTGAACATATGCTGGATGATGGTGGGATTTTTTTAATATGTCATATTAAATTAAGCGCTCACAGGGTTCATACAGGAATGAGTGACTCTAATTTAATGCTATTTTAATGCTATTAGAAATGATTTTAATGCCAGCAACAAGAACCATGTACACAAGTTATTAGTGTACATGAAATATGAAGGAGCTGTAAGCAGAGTTCCATGACTCCTGTATGTATGTAAACACACACACACATATATACGTATATATATATCCTCTAGCTTTTTCTCCGCCTGGAGCGATATAATATATCTGACGAAATTGTTTTTATAAGCATTTTTTATTAAAGAATTATAAATACTTCGATAAACATATTTAAATAATTTTAGTGCCAATTAAGGCCTTGATTTAAAAAAAATGAATGATTTTTTAATCATTTTTATTGATCCGCTGACACCCTGGTTCATCTCGCGCATGCTCTTTACGATCTCCAAGAAACTCAGAGCGGCGCGGTGGAAAATTATATTAAAAAAGAATATTCAGAGTATATACAAATTTATACAGATGCTTCTAAAACATTAAATGAAAAAGTAGGTATAGCATTTGTAATCCCAGATTTAAATATTATGAGGAATAAAAGAATAACAGATAAATTGGCAGTGTATATAGGTGAATTAATGGCTATCTTAATGGCTTTAGAATGGATTGAGGAAACAAAAGACAGGGAGG